CAACACTGTTTCCAGCACAAATCCAAAACATAGCCCCATACTAGCTACTGTGAAGAAAATTAACTCTATCCCAGCCAAAACCAGCACAGGGTTCTAATAGACAGTAAATTTAATAGCAGTCAGCAGCCTGCCTCTGCAGCAAAGAAGGCCAATTGCATGCTGGGCTGTAATAGCAAGGGTGTAGCCGTGGGTGTAGGAAAGTGTTTCCCTCTTTGGTGCTTGCACAGAGTGTCCAGATACAATCTCACCATTTTTGGGCTTCACAGGAGATGAAAGGCACTGACCTACTGGAGCCAGTCTGGGTTTGCTCACCTGTAAGAAGAGAAGGCTCAGGGGACACTAGTGCTGCCTACAGTTACGTAATAAGAAGGCATACATGAGACAAAACCTGACTTACTCCTTCCTATAGGTGCATGATGGAAGGGTGAGTGGCAAGCAGCACAAGTTACAACATGGAGAAATTTTAGATACCAAGAAAAGAATCTGTAGTCTGAGGGTGATCAAACACTGAAACAAGGGCCCACAGAGTCTGTAGAATCTATATCCATGGAGATAAGGTCCTGAGCAGCCTGTTGTAACTGGACCTGTTCTAGGCAAGAGGTTGGACTAGAGGACCTCTGGAGGTCCCTTCCAGCCTGATGTTATTTCATGACGAATTCCTCAATTTTTAAGATGTTACTTCATCTATCTGATGCTTACTATAAGAAACACTTTTTCAAGATACAGTTTCAAACTTGCAAGCTATTTCTTTGAATTTCAAATACAAAAGTAACAGAAGTTGAGCAAAGATGGCATCAATTTTTATTTCATCAACTACAGATGATAAAATATCCCAGAGCAGTTTGCAGCTCTGTACTGCAGGTTGTGACCTGTCTGTTTTATCTGTCAGAAGAAAGATTTGAAATCATTAAGGTGTGTTTTCCAGGTAGTTCTGTGTGGTGGGTCGGCTCGAATCCCAAAGCTACAGCAGCTGATCAAAGACATCTTCCCAACTGTGGAGTTACTGAATTCAATTCCTCCAGATGAAGTTATTCCCATTGGTGCAGCCATAGAGGCAGGAATTCTGCTAGGGAAAGAGAATCCTTTGTTAGAAGAAGAAGCACTCTTTATTGAGTGTTCCGCCAAAGATATTCTTCTTAAGGTAAGGCTAAAATTATTTAACTTAGAAAATGTTACTGCTCAATGAATATACAGCACTACTCATGCATGATTGATGTTAGAGAAACACTATTGTTTTGTTATTAGTTCTAGAGATTGGCTATAGATCAGCAGGAAGTGGTAACAGGTTTATTGACAAAAGAATTGACAGGAAAAACTGCTTGATTCTAAGGGGAGATAGATTGTGTCTTTGTGTTGTAATAGCTGGACTTTTTCATTTATTTATAGGAATGTCTTTTTTTTTACTTGCTGTGATGGTAAATGTGGCAGAGAGAATGAATCTTGGATTTCTTTTCTCATGGAGCACTGCTGTAACACTTCCAGCTCACTAAAGTACTTAGAGAAAGGCATGAACTTTTTTTTTCTTTTTAAAGGGAGTAGACGAGTCAGGGGCTGACAAATTCACAGTGCTATTTCCATCAGGGACACCATTACCAGCTCGAAGGCAGCACACCCTGCATGCTCCTGGAAATACTTCTTCTGTATGCCTTGAACTATACGAGTCATTGGGGAAAAGTCCCATGAATGAAGAAGGTAAATTTGCACAGGTGAGTATATGCACATTTGTATGCACTTTTAATATCAACCACTTAGAAGTCAAGTGCATCTGGGAAAAAAAAAAAAAAAAAAAAAAAACCAATCCCACCCCTACCAAAACTTCTTGTTACAAAGTTAGAATGACATGCATCCAAAACCAATCCCACCCCTACCAAAACTCTTGTTACAAAGTTAGAATGACATGCATCTCTTTGGAAATGGTCTTTAAGCATTCTTCTGTAAATGTGTTACGAAGTATTGAAGCACTTCTTAAAGGAATTGAAGCTTCCCTTTCGAATTTCTGAATGGCTGGCTGGGTTTGCCATTTGGCACTACTGTAGTAAGCTCACCTGGGATGAGAGATCATAACCAGCCATTCCAGTAGTACACAGGTCTCCGACATTTTAGAAATGAAACTGCTGGAGGTAACGATGTAGCTAGTGTATGTACTGTTGATTGCTTTTTGATCTTCCTAGATTGGACGGGATCTTGGTATTAAATACCACACTTGATTTTTCACGGTGGTAAGGTGATGTGATTAAATCCTCACCCGATACAAAGATACTACTCGGGAGTCAACCTATTGAAAGAACACAGCTTGTTTGAAACAGTGGTGATGTGCTTACCTTGGCTTCAGTGCACTTAAAGCATCGGGGAGGTGGAAGGTGTGGCTGAAATGGATGGAATACTTGAGAGAACTGTTATTCCACCTTGGTCCTGCCCAAAGATCTTTAAGGGGATGGGGGAAGGATGTTACCCAATAATTACAGAACTGATCTTCAGTAAAGGAACATGCTCGGCTCTTGCTGTAGTCTGTGGGAGTTGTAGGTACTCCAGCTATCTTAGTGATAGACCCTGAAACAAAACCACTGAAACAGTAGTGCAAATGGCTAAAAATGCTTAGGTTTGCACTACAGAGGAATGAAGTCCACTAGGGCATGCTTTAGTGTTGAATTATTAGTATGAGATGCTAAACAGAACGAATTGCACACCTTAGCTATTGTGTCACTTCCGTTAGTGCTGTGCAAGGATTTAGGGAACTTTATAACTTAACTTTTTTTTTTAAATAGATTGTACTCCAGGATTTGGATAAAAAGGAGGATGGCCTACATGATATACTAACTGTACTCACTATGAAAAGGTACCCAAAATATTTATTGTTCTGCTGTTCAACTTGCTATGTCACACATCTGACAAGCAGTCTTTTCTCCTCTTACAGAATGTTGAATTTTGTGTTGGGAAATTTCAGCATTTCATTGCTTACAGGGCTGTGTCCTAGCAGAGGTAAATTCTGTAGGAATGTGTTTTTTATGCAGTAGCTTCTGTGCTTTCATTGTTTGATTCCTAAAGAAATAAAACTTAACACAGTTGTATAGATGATTTTTAGCAACTTTTGAACTGTTGATCAGTTTAACCATGCTTGAGAGCAGTCAGGATCTCAAATTTCCTGTGGAAGGGGTCAGGAAGTTCTGTTGAATGCTTACACTCTTAGGAAAAACTCGAGTAGAACCTGTCTTTGTAGGTTGCTAAGGAATCCACGAAGGACTTCTCGTATGTGATTTTGTGATGAAAACCTGTGGCCCTGTCCTTTCAGAGGCAGGGTTGTTGAGCACGAGAAACGATGCCACAGGAAATCAGGCTTCATAAATCTACTTTTTACAGGATTACTTTTTACAGGATTACCTGTTTATTATGGTAAAACAGGAAGTATCTTATGGCAGGGTGGGGAATGGGGATGACATGATATTGAAGAAATTTCTCTTTCTTAGGTCTTAATAGGAGTGCTTCGGCTCATTTGAAATAGTCTAAATAGCTTATAAAGATACCAGAAGGTGGAATTCAAAGTTGTCAAAGTATGTTTGTCTTCTGAGGACTGTCCTGAAGTTCATATTGCTTTTTTAAATAATATGAAAGTTGTCTAGATGTTGCTGAAGAACCAAATCCCTACTTGCTATTTGAGTTCACAATACTTCATTTTCTTATGTTGACTATCAGGTGTATTAATGTTCTATTAATAGACTTCACCTAAAATACCTTGTTAGTTATACAAAGATTTGCCCTTAGCATTGATAAGAAAAACATCTTAGGGGTTATATATGCAACTGTGGAGTGCAGAAAACCTGCATTATTTTAAAGGGGTTTTTAGTAATATTTAGATGAAAAATAGTAGGGAAAGTTCACTAGGACACATCTATTTCTATCTAAATATTACACATGACTGTTGTATGTCTAGATGAAGTAGGATTTAATATTGTCTCTAATTCTTGGATTGTGAAAATTAAGGTTTTCCTCCTTGAAGGAGATCCTTGGTATTTAAAGACTTACTTTTTAAAGAGTCAAGTTCTCATGCTTTGAGAAGACGTGCTTATCTCTTGGTTGCTGTTACTCAAGAGTTCTCAAGATGAGTATTTTGAATATTACTGCACATTCTATTTACAAACCTGTACTAAATAAACTTAGCTACATTATTTAGACATGTTCCTGAATCTCTTCCACCATATGTACAGAAGATATGTGCTTTAGTGGAGGGCAAGAAGTGCATATCTAAATACTCAATAAACTAAACTTAATTTCATAAATCAATTTCATCGATGTTGAAGCATGTTCTTCCCTGGGTATTTTGATGCTAATCTTTCTTCCTTTGGTCTGCATGAAGACTATTGTTTATCCTCTCTGGAATATGCAGTAACATACTAAGTGTTGTGTTGAGATAGTCCTAAACATACCTTTCTCTTTTATCTAGGGATGGGTCCTTGCATGTTACCTGCACAGATCAAGATACCGGGAAGTGTGAAATCATCACTGTTGAAGTGGCGTCATAGTCTCTTTTTGAAAGGCAACATTTTTCTAAGTTGATTTTTGTCTCTTGTTGGCTTTTCTGCCAAAGTGGTGACTCTCTCTGAGATGTCTTCAATGATTCTTAGAGGCTCTAATAAACTGAAGTAAAACATTAATTTGCCACAAAGTCTGTTTGGAGTGGAAAGCGTGGTGCAAAATGTTAATCAAGACATGCAGACAGCAGAGCATTGAATTATCAGCACCTGATTTAAAAAATGCAAAGGGCAAATCCTCATGCCTGTGGTTCAGCAACAAGCATATTACATAGTCTGAAGTTTTCCTTGGACTGATCGGATCGTGTACCCGTTCAACCAGTATATCTGTGGCTTCAACAGCATAGCATTGAACCAGCAAGAGCTAGACTGGTGAAAATCCGCTCTCTAATAACTGTACCAAATTGTACTGAAATCCTGGGTGGTCTTGATGTTGCCTGAAACCATGGAGGTGATGCCCATTTGCGCTGGCCTCTTGAGCAGGATCTTTTTTTTTTTTTTTTTTTTTTTTTTTTTTTTTTTTTTTTTTTTTTTTTTTTTTTTTTTTTTTTTTTTTTTTTTTTTTTTTTTTTTTTTTTTTTTTTTTTTTTTTTTTCTGGAGTTACTGGAAGGTGGGGAGTTACTGGAAGGTGGTTTTGTGGTGCTACCTGAAAAATGTGTTAAGGGTTATGTATGCTTATTTATGTGTTATTAATAAAATACATTTTTTATGCAGATCCTGGCATCCTCCATTCTGTGTAGCACTGTTCTAATCTGTATGTCATCATATATTTGTTTGGATATAAGCTGGCACTTTTTTCATTTTAGGTAGGGCAGTAATAAGAAGGAGGCAGAGCAGGCAAGTGTGGTTACAGGAGTTAATGTGCAGCTACAGGGCAACAGTTCAGCCCTGAGGACCAGATGTTACCTTGTAAAACATTCAAAGTGACACAGTAGAGCTTCAACGTCGGAGACGGAAACTAGAGCAAGGGATGTCTGGCTGGATTTGAAGAGACCTGTGTTCCATTACCTGTTTTTCTACAGGCCTCCCAAATTGTCTTGTGTTTGCAGAACATGTATTTCAACATTATTCCTACCTCACAAAAGCAATAGATACTGCACAGCGTAGATATAAATCTTGCTGCATTCCAAACAAATGTCTGTATTGTGTGGCTTATCAGCCTAGGCATGGGGTTTGAACTTGTGAGGCTTCCTTGGGTGGGCGAAGTGCTGGGACTGTTCTGCCTCCCTTATCCCTGGGTATTTGACCTCTGGAAAGTAAGTAAATAGTTCACCAGTTCCTGTGTGAAAACTTCAAAAGGGGGCCTTGGAAAACCCAAAGTCTGGTTCTGTCAGGGCAGTGGAGTCCCACTGCCCTGATAAATACAAGTAAATACTTGTATTTACTGCCCTGATAAATACAAGTAAAGAGACGCTTAAGCGCTAACTAGTGGCCAGACATCGTTCAGGGATGTTTTGTTGTGTGTAATAGTCCCAACTGGTGGGGTTTATGGGGCTTGGGGCTAACTTGAAAGCTCTTTAATAGGAAACACCTCTTCTGAGATGTGTGTTGTGATGAGTGCGTAACTTTTTTTAAAAAAAAGTGTCTGAAACCTTCCTTTGTGGTTCTTTCTTTCAGCTCTGTAGCTGGCAGAGCGCAGTGAGGGGCCCGGTGGAAGTCTGCCTGGTGCCTTGCGCTTGCCCTGCCCCAGGCACTGCCACCTTAGCCAGCGCGATAAAAGATCAAAGCGAAATCGCTTGAAGTTTTGCCTCGCTTCTTTTTAGTCTTTCTCACTTCTACAGCTCTGTTTCTGCAGGGGGGCCCTCGCTCACGGAGCAGCTGGGGCGGCTGCCC